TCGAACAACATTACACTGATCAACGTATAATTGACGATCAAYGGTAAGACGAGACTTTCGCCATGTCCTCTCGAGACGCCTTCGTTTTACTTTAGCAGTCTTGATTTCATGGTTATACCAGGGTGAAGATGGACGCACAGTTATGACACGATCTTAACAAGGGTATGCCCATCTAATGTAGAAGTCAATACAGACTCATACTGATCAAAAGACCAAAAAGATCAGTTTGTGGAGRCCTAAACAACGACGAAGAGGAAACATCGTTTATAAAAGAATCAAGATTGACAGATTTCAATTTGCGACATCTAGAAACCCTTCTCTCAACGGGGGTTTGCTTATCAAAAGGTTACAAAAAACAGCAGAGTGGTCAGACATAGCCAGATCATAAACAGAAATGCTGTCAATAATGATTTCATCAGCTCTAGTTATTAAAAGATCTAAAACATRTTTTCCTTGGTAGGTAGCTTGTCTGACAGATTGGATCAAATTAAAACGCAACAAAATATTTAAAAACCGACCAGCAATTCCGTTAGACACTCCTTCCACATGAAAATGAAAATCTCCTACTATAAGTATAGACCTCATTTCAATTGAAAATTTTTCCAAGTTGAAACCTCACCAAAAAACAGAGAACTAGTAAAGTTATTCTTAACACGAGGAGGAGGTCTGTAAATAACAAAAATAGAAAAATGCCCAGATGAGGAATGGGAAGCCATTCCCATACAGCCTCAAGAGATTTCAACTTTTTGATGGAAATTTTCTTCATTTTCAAAGCCTTTTTGAATAACAAACCAACACCTCCACTTCTGCCTTCCCTCGCAATGTGTTCGAATAACTAGCCATTTGGCAACATTTCACATTTCCTTTATAATTAGTTGATTCGATTCATTAGGTTTTAACCATGTTTCAGTTATACATAACAATTCAATCTTTTCATCGATAACAAAATCATTTATCATTAAAGACTTGTTGCAAATTGATCTAGCATTTAACAGGCATAAATTAGAAGGTTTAGTACGAACCTGATGTTGTAAAGGAATACGGTTAAAAATCAAGAGATTCGATGAATTTACACCAGTTTGCCTCCGGGTTGAATATACGGTCGTAGACGTGGTCGAACACGAGAAGCGATTATGAATTTTTAATTCGTGTAAAGAATAACCAGAAAATGAAGATTTCGTAGCGATCAATACTCTCATCAATCAATGGTTATCAATCTATATTTTATATTTTACAACCTTCAACCCCCGTACGGGGCTCTTCAGGGAGGTTGTCTTCACACTCACACACAACACTCGACTCACATGTTGATATTTGGGGAGGGAAGAAACTGGAGAACCTGGAAAACCCTCGTGGCAAGAGACAAGAGAAATAACAGCACATGAAAGAAACTCAACTCACATATGAACCAGAATGAGCTGGGGCTCTACCCTGAACCACAGCTAGTAGTGAGAGGTGAGTGGTAAACCAATACGTGCCCATGCCACCATAAATCAAAGGTAAACCCATAGTAAGCTCGTGAAGTTTTTTGAGTACCAATGAACTAAGATGATAACAATTGACACTTGGTGATAGTCATTTCATTGAGGATATGTTACCCGAGTAAGGCGATAGTTATGTTTTGTGCAAACAAACTGTTGTCTTTATCAATTTTAAAAATTATTGGCTTCTGATTGGCTAGAATCCTTTCTTTTCCGATTTCTGGTTACGAAATTTTTCTACGATTAAGATTATCTGGACTGAGTCTAATCGATCCAATATATGACAAACCAGGCTGTTTTCGGATTCTTCTTCCAAAAAATGATAACTAGACCCTGACTTCAGGGTTAACTCGTGCCCTGTACATGTATAGTGGTTGCTGAGTTATCCTTGACTTCGATCAAATGATCCGGTGCGGAAAGG